TCATGTGACAAAGAAGATGTTTTCAGAGTAGTGTGGACACAGAAATCTGATTTTTTTTTTTTTTTTCCATTCAGACGTGAGCCACATATTATACATAAAAAAATAAATAAGTAGAAAAATAAACATTTTACTTATGAGGTGAATGTTTCTCCATTTCTGTTGCTAAAATGCTACAGCTGGTACACACATTGGTACCTCCCATCTCTAACCCTAATCAAATAAAGGATTATTATAGCCTCAGCAGTGTATAGCAAATTAGTGGAACTTAAGAGTCATGAAGTCTGACCATATTCAATCTAAGCCACAGAAGCCTGTTTCTGTGCAACTGGCCAAAGAACTCTGGACTCCAGGCCCTGTGCTGTGAAGGCCACTCCCAAAATCCATTCACAGCACATCTCTGACCTGACAGTCCAAACTACAGAAGGAGCAAAAGGATCTGTAATGCTCACTCAAGGGCGGATTGTCGACGGGGTCCACTCATAATTCCGACATCCCATTGTTCCGAAATCTCAATGTTTCGACATCCCGTTGTTCTGACCATATTAAACCCATTGTTACGAAGTCCTGTTGTTCCAAAATCTCATTTTTCATTGTTACAAAACAACTGTTTCATGGTTAAGGTCTGGTTAGGTTTAGGCACAAGAACTACTAGGTTAAGGTTAGGAAAAGATCATGGTTTGGGTTAAAAACTTTCAACATCATTTCTACTTCCTCAAAACAGGGCGACCGTTGTCGTCATGGCAACAGTAAACAACACGACAACATGGTCTCATGCTGCTTTCCTTTGCTGCTTGCTTTTTTCACTTTTGCATTGCAACATTGAGATTTCGGTACAATGGGTAATTTTCAGAATAATGGGATGTCGAAATAATGGGATGTTTGAATAATGGGATGTCGGAATTATGACATGGCACCATTGTCGACAACCTGTTCCTACAGAGCATTCTGCTCCATGCCCATACCAGCTGATGACTGTATGTCAATATCCTAATGCACGTCTCTTTCATAATTCATGGCATTCGACGATATCACACAGCTCAGACTTTCATTCAGTGTTTGCAGCATTCTGCACAAGGAGCCCAGGAACATTAATGTGAGGTCACATCAATACTGCACAAAGGAACAATCACCACATGCTGCTTTCTACACAAACTACACAGGCATTCACGAATACACACATGCTAATAAATTTAAGCAAATTAACATTCCAGTATTATTCAGGTACTACTTTGAATGCAATCACACAACCTTTAAAAAGCTGCTACTAATATCAAAATAAGATATGTCTCTCAGTTTATCATTCCACTTCATAAACATCCAACATCAAAAAGCAGAGACACAGAAACTTTAACCTGTGTGGCAACTAATGATTATTTGAAGAATTGAAGAATTGTTTGTCTATTAAATGTCAGGGAGTAGGGAAATTTGCTCACTAAAGTTCCCTTAAAAATGACGATCAATCATCCATCCATCCATTTTCTAACCGCTTATCCTCTTGAGGGTCGTGGGGGGGCTGGAGCCTATCCCAGCTGACATCGAGTGAGAGGCGGGGTACACTCTGGACAGGTTGCCAGACTATCACAGGGCTGACACATAGAGACAGACAACTATTCACGCTCACATTCACACCTACGGACAATTTAGAGTCACCAATTAACGTAGTCCCCAACCTGCATGTCTTTGGACTGTGAGAGGAAGCCGGAGTACCCGGAGAAAACCCACGCTGACACAGGGAGAACATGCAAACTCCGCACAGAAGGGCTCCCGCACCCGGGATCGAACCAGGAACACAATCAATTGCTCTTTTACCTCAAATATAGTACAGGAACATTCCACCCACACTGTGTATAATCCCTGCTAGAGGTTGATCGACGTCACTGCACGCCACTCCTACTCCACCTGAGAGACGTTGTGTGTGCGTACGCAACTCGTGCAATCAAAACTATTCGATTGAGTAAACAGCTCATCACCCTCACTCGGCTTCTCAGTTCTGCAATGATTGTTTTTTTCTTTGTTGCAACAGTGTGCATTGGTATCATATGTAATCATATCATATCATATCATATGTAATCATAGATGTTATAGTTCATGGTGCGAGGTTATTGATGATAATACCACAGTGTAGATGCTTATGATAATTAGCATGCTAATAGCTTACCTTATGAGGTGCTTATCTGGGGAAATGAGTAGATTTAATCCAGTCTATATGCTACTAATTGTTATCTTCAAGCTGCTGCGTGTTCATTTAACTCAGTGGCGGACCTAAGCAGCTCCGACACTCTGGCCCAGTCACGTGACCTACATCTTGTGGAAGCGAGTGCCATATTACATATAATTACAGTTGTCTGCTGTTAAACTGACAGACAGACAGATGGACAGCAAGAGAGAGAGAGAGAGAGAGAGAGAGAGAGAGAGAGAGAGAGAGAGCGCTAGATAGCTAGATAGATAGATAGCATCTCTCTAGAAACTAGAATTACTGCCTCACAGTTGTATGCCTTCTCCCCATTCTGTGACCTTGTTGTGGTGGAGTAGGCTTGCGTGGTTCTATGATCCTGAGAGCTATGCTGGAGGGAGCCTAGGGCCCCTGGCAGGTTCAACCATACCAGACTGGTCTTGGGTGAGGAACGAAAGGCAGCACCTGGTCCTCCAGGTTGGGGGTTGGGAGTGGCGCTAACAACACCACCCCGTAAAAAAACCCTACTGTTACAAAAACTACAATGAGCAATCCTATTGACATCAGGCGCACAGTAGACCCCGGCCACCCAAACTCTTTGGGTGGCAGTATGACCACTTCTGATGAAATCCGAAAGGAAGTCAGGAGTGCGAAAGAGGGCCTAAAACCAAGATCCGCATTGGAACATGGAACGCCCGAACCATGTTTGAGACCACCAAGACAGCACAAGTCCTCAGTGAGATGAAAAGGTACCACTGGACATCCTGGGGATAAGTGAGAGTCACTGGACCGACTCTGGTCATCAAGTCCTGCATGATGGGTCTGTCATCCCCCATTCTGGCCACGAGAACACACACACACATGGTGTAGCTAACTTAATCTCCAAGGAGAAGGCCAAAACCTTGCTGGAGTGGGAACCAGTAAGTGAAGCCGAAGCATCACCAAGGAGATTACGTACGGACGCCTGAGATGGCCAGGACATGTGTTGAGGATGGAGCAGGACTGCATCACAAAAGTCGCCTTAAGATGGACACCACCAGGCAAAAGAAAACCTGGGAGGCCCAAAACCACCTGGTGCAGAACTGTGACACAAGAGCTGGAACAGATGAACCTGTCATGGGGAGAGGCACAACATGCTGCCAGGGACCGAATGCAATGGAGAGTGCTCACTGAAGCCTTATGTCCCATAGGGGACGAAGAGGAGTAAGTAAGTAAGTTACAGTAGGTGTATGCCTCCATGCAAAAGTCAAGTGTTAGTTATACTTTACATCCATATCTGTGGAAACATGAATGCTTCACACACATCTTTCGCCCGGCAGCACCGAAGACCTATACAATCAGCACAATTTCAAGATTAGTGTCACCAGTTCAGCATCTGACCTGTCTCCCCTTCTGTTCCTGAGTGACATACATTTTGGGGCCAGAAAAGTGTTTATGCAGAACATTATGATGTCACACCGAAGCTGACCTCTGACCTTTTAGAATGAAATTGTCATCACTTCATTGTTTTATCATATTTGATTTTTTTTTGTGAAAGTTTGTCAAAATAAGTACATGAATTGAGTTTTAGCCAAAAACATGTTTTGTAAGGTCATAGTGACCTTGACCTTTTACCACCAAATTCAAATCAGTAAATCACTGAGTCCAAGAGCAAATTTGTGTCAAATTTAAGGAAATTACCGTAAGGCATCCTTGAAACATCACCTTCAGAAGAATGAGATGGATGCAAGGTCACAGTGACCTTGACATTCGACCACCAAATTCTAATCAGTCCATGGCTAGTCCAAGTGGATGTTTGTGCCAAATTTGAAGAAATTCCATCAAGGTCTTCTTGAGATATTGTGTTAACGAGAATGACAAGGATGCAAGGTCACAGTGTCACAGTTTTGCAATCCTGGTCACCTGTTCTTTTCGGTCACTTAGCCTCAGCCTGTAATTTTCAACTTATCCCACCTCTCTGGCTCTCTGCAGTTGGGTTCAAATGGGCATTTAATGTCGTCCAATATCGATCGCAGACCACTGAATCATACTGAAATTAAATCGAACCGTGGCAAACGTTGTTATTTCGGAAAATACAGTATCGTTGTCCAAAGAATCAATATAATATTATAATACTGTATCATGACTAAACTGGTGATTTACACCCCTAATAGGTATATTAACTATAAGGGGGTTTCTCAGCAGTCCAAAGAACAGAAGTGCTCACCATCCAATTGCCCCCCTGAAAAAACACCCAATAATACCAGCATATCCCACGTCTTAATCCAAAAATGCTACATTAGGAATAAAGCCTAATTTGAAATATCTAGATGGATTTGCTGTTTACATTACGAGTATCAAATTCAGAATACTGTCATATTTGGAATAACAGAAGAATATGAATGTGCATGTAAACATAGCCAATGACAGCTTTTTCCAGTTGGAGAAAGAATCTAAGACTTTTGTAGGACTTTTTGACAAACAAGAAATATTTGTTCATAGTTCAACATGGAGGATTTAAACATGACAGTAACACACTATAGTCAGGGTTCTGCATACACAGCCAGCTTCCACATACTCATACTTGAAAATAAGATGCCAACCTCATGACAATAAAAAGAGGAGCTGCCTTGTTCTTTGTTGTATAGCAATATGTGTCTTGGTACTGCCTTAGAGCAATTATAAAAGTGTAGATAGCAACAGATGTTCTCACCTAGCCTCCCTCTGAAACAAGAATCCGCTTTAGATTGATTTCACAATCTCTAATCTGGTGAGATTATAAACTCTGTCCAATAAAGCAACACCCACTGCAATGCAATAACCACAATGAAGGAATGGACATATTTACCCAGGACATTTCCCGCAGGCACCTCCTCCAGCTCCTCCAGCTCTCTGCCCATCAGCAGGTAGAGACTTTCCACAGAACAACAGGACAGATGAGGCACCTCAGGCACACAGTCTGAAGCACTGCAACCCCCTGGCAGCTGACAGAGATGAGAAAAGGAGTGAGCATGAGGAGCAAAGAGGCTGAAATAAAGAATTTGCAATTATAGGGTTTTTGGGATTACAACGCATGCACAGCTTGGTTCACATTTCATTGCCTATTCAGTTAGGATCTAAAAACCAAATTAAATGTTATGACTTGTCTAATGTCAGTGCAGCTGCAAGGGGAGAAGCCGCTGAGATGATTGTTTGTTTTTCCTGTGTGAGCTTTGCTAACATAGCTACTCTTCTTTGTGTTGAGCATTTTGGAAATATTTGGGGACTCACGAGCCTTTGAGCTGTTATTAGAAGAAGTTTTGTGGGCTATTGTGTAATTCAGCATTTTGTGGTAATTCCTGTTTAGGAAAAACTTGGTAGCTCCAAGTTTGTGCAGGCTGAGCATTTTGAATGTTGCTACTTTGTTTAGCTTTTGGCCAAGATAGTTGGACACTTACTTATTAGACATCCAAGATGGCGCTGGGGGTCGGCAGCCTGTTGCAGCAGCTCTGACTATTTGCCCTCTTTTTGCTTCTTTTTCGTATCTTTAACTTTGTGTTTTAATAGTTGTTTTTTTTTTGCTCATTTATATTGCATTGCTGCAGCGTTCTAGTTGTAGTATTATTGGGGAGTAATTTGTTTCTTCTTCGCATAGTTTTCTTTAATGTTAACTATGTTAACGTACACTCATGAGGAACTACTCATAAAACATAAAACTAACTTAACTACATAAAATTCTGTGAGGACAACATTGTCCCAACAAGAAATGTTTACTGCTTTTCTAACAAGCCATGGATCAATAAAGACACTAAAGGCCCTCTTAACCGAAAGAAGAGGGCGTTCATGTCCAAGGATCACGAGGAACTCAGGGCTGTTCAAAAGAACTGAAGAGGAGACTGAGGGAGGCCATAAGCAGCTACAAGGAGAAGATTGCGGCCAAGATGGGACAGAACAACACATAAGAGTTGTGAAATGAGATGAGGATGATGACAGGCTGTGGGAAAGCCACACCTGGAGTCAAAAGGTGGTCCAGAATTTGCAACAGAGCTAAACCTATTCTTCAATAGGTTTGAAACACCCCCTGTGAGTTCTGTCTGTGGATCTGAGACCCCACCCACCATCGCTCTACCCATTCACACCTCTGCTGTAGACTCTGCTCCCCTCCCCAGTAGCGACCTGTCTCCCTCCCCTCCCCCTGCTCATCGACAGCTTCAGCTGACAGTCCCCCCTCACCCCACAGGCCCCCCCTCACTCTGCCGGTGGCGCTAACGTCACATGTCATGAAGACATTTGAGAGGCTTGTTCTCTAGCACCTGAGGCCACTGTTCTCTGCCTTCCTGGACCCCCTGCAGTTTGCTTACCAGCAGCACATTGGTGTGGAGGATGCCATCATCTTCCTCACTCACAAGGCTCTGTCTCACTTGGAGAGTGCTGGAAGCACTGTGAGAGTCATGTTCTTTGACTTCTCCAGTGCCTTCAATAGCATTCAACCCAGCCTCCTGAGAGACAAGCTGCTGGATATGCAACTTTACCCGGACATCACTGCCTGGACTTTGGATTACCTCATGGGCCGGCCGCAGTACATCAGGGTGGATGGCTGCATATCTGAGGTGGTGTCTGGTAACACTGGGGTGCCCCAAGGAACTGTTCTGGCACCATTCTTCTTCACCCTCTACATCTCTGATTTCTGGTTCAATTCTGGTTCCTGCCACCTCCAAAAGTTTTCCGACGACTCCTCTATAGTCGGATGCATCAGCAATGATGACGAGGAGGAGTACAGAGGACTGATTGAGAGCTCTGTCGTGTAAAGCAACCGAAACCACCTTCAACTCAACATCAGTAAGACTAAGGAGGTGGTGGTGGACTACTGGAGGAACCGGAGGCAACCTGCCCCAGTCACCATCCAGGGCGAGGAGGTGGAGATGGTGGACTCATACAAGTACCTTGGGGTCCAGATCAACAATAAACTGGACTGGACTCATAACACAGATGCCCTCTATAGGAAAGGACAGAGCAGGATGTTCTTTCTGAGGAGACTCATATCGTTTGGCATCTGTAGTGGGCTCCTCAAGACCTTCTACCAGTCTATGGTTGCCAATGCACTCTTCTTTGCTGTAGTGTGCTGGTGGGGTGGAGTTCAGACTGGTGAGGTCAACAAGCTCAACAAGCTTGTGAGGAAAGCCCGCTCTGTGGTGGGACTGGACCTGGACAGTCTGGAAATAGTGGCTGAGAGGAGGGTGAAGGACAAAATCTGTGCAATCCTGGACAATCCTTCTCACCCTCTGCACGACAAGCTGTGGCTGATGGGCAGCTCATTCAGCCAGTGGGTTATCCCACCCAGGAGCAGAACTGAATGATTCAGACGCTCTTTTGTGCCCACTGCCATCAGACTGTACAACAGCGGTTTGGCTTAGCTACATCTAGTTCTGAACTGACTTATTTTATATCCGTCCAATATGACACTTCTGCCACTATCTGCCACCTGACAGTTTATTTCATTCAACACTTTGTCTGCCATTTCTTAGTCATTTTATTCATCTGATGTAGCAATTTTATTAATGTAGCAATTTTATTTTATCTTTATTTATCTATTATTATTTTTAATTTTTACATTTTATTTTTTCTCTTTAATCTTATTCTATTTAATGTCCTTTGATTTTGTCTTGTGCTGCTGTGGTACTTGAATTTCCCCCCTGGGGGATCAATAAAGTATATCTTATCTTATTTTATCTTATCTTACACACTGGGACTCATCCTGAACTTATTACAATTAAAACTTGCCAGACCACTCCTCTCCAGCACACCAAACTTTATTCAACCAAAGTTTTCAGCTTACTTAGCCCTTCATCACGTGTGTTAGTGACAGTTGTTTCTGTTTGCAGATATTCAGGGTTTTCAAAGACGACATTGTGCCCAAGAATATCAAGCCTCTATCTGTTTACATTTTGGCAACTTGGTACCAATTAATAGTATGTTGAATTAGCCATTAGCAGTTCCTGTTTGCAATTTACAGATGGGTGTAAGTAGGGATGCACTGCATTGGATTTTTAGCCAATATGCCAATATATAACAACCTATTTTACCGATAACCCATACTGATATCGATACATCCACTTTTTCTCCACCTAATTTTAGTGATCATCAAGTCTCTTCTGTAGTAGAATAAACATATTGTTGGGACCTGACCTCGTAAAGGATCTCCAATAAATGTGAGGTATCAAAATGGCTGTCAGAATAATTAATAATTATCAATAATAATTATAAATTACGTTAAATAATGTGACTTAATCTAAATTAAATCACCTTGTGGGACACCATTCCTAAAAAGGGAAAAATGATAACCAGCTAATGATATCAGTCTCATTAAATACACTAAACTTTTAATTTGAAACTCTGATTAATAGTTAAATCAATAACTATAACCAAAGAGGATGACAATTTATTTACTCTTGTGCAACATTAAAGGACAACTAAGGTATTTTTCAACCTCGGCTCTATTTCCCCATGTGTATGTGTGCATATGATTCATGAGTACCACTCGTTCTAAAATTGGTTCAGTATTGAGGCGCGAAACGAGCTAAAACGGTAATGGGGGCAAATGCGTCCAGTATAAAAGTGCTTTCTTTCGCCACTGACCGGTTCAGATCGCCAGTGCTATCTCTGTAGATAGCATATTGTAGCGGCCCTGGGGCAGTGGTGAGTGCGAATGAGTGGAGTCAGCTGTCAGTCAGTGTTGGAGCAGAGAGGGGGAGGGCGTCCCCGCTCGGTACTGTAAGTGAGTATGTGTGTGTGAAGTGTGTGTTTTTTCGCCACTGACCGGTTCAGATCACCAGTGCTATCTCTGAAAATAGCATACTAACTTAGCCTTTCCCTTACCTCTGGGCTGTGTGATGTCACAAGCTTTGCTCCACTGTGTCTGTAGCTCTCTCTACTCGTGGGACAGCCATTTTCTTGAGGAAGAGGTGTTTCGGGATTGGATGTCTTCTCTTCTTCGGCTGGCAGTAGTCATCTTGGGAGAAGTGAGCACTGCAGACCCGATGGTCTGCAAGGCACAGTGTCTGGAGAGGAGTGTTAGCATCCATTTGTAGCACAACTAGCCACAACTTCAGCATCTCGCCGTCCGACAAAGGCAGCCTATGAAAGCTGTACCGGGTGTTGCGCGACATCCTGTTCTTGCGTTCGGGAAAAAGGCCCGTTTATTTGAGCACTCCAAAAACTCCGGTAACACTCCAGGGGGTAGCACATAAAAGACTCCGTCCTCTGACTCTTCTAGCGTAACACACACTTCACACACACATACTCATTTACTGTACCAAGCGGGGACGCCCTCCACCTCTCTGCTCCAACACTGACTGACAGCTGACTCCACTCATTCACACTCACCACTGCCCCAGGGCCGCTACAATATGCTATCTACAGAGATAGCACTGGCAATCTGAACCGGTCAGTGGCGAAAAAAAGCACTTTATACGGGACGCAATTGCCCCCATTACCATTTTAGCTCGGTAAATTCATGGTACCCATGAATCATACGCACACATACACATGGAGAAATAGAGCCGAGGTTGAAAAATACCGAAGTTGTCCTTTAAGCATTTACTATTCCAAAAGTATTTATTCACAAAGAAGCACAGCAAAACCAAACATGCAAAATTCTAACTAGTCACTATATACAAGTATGGATGTGTGTGTGTGTGTGTGTGTGTGTGTGTGTGTGTGTGAGAGACAGAGCGAGAGAGAGACAAAGGTCTGCGTGTGAAACAAAGGCCCTCTGGCCTACAAAACAAAATGGCTGACAACAGAAAACTACAAGAAGGCTGAATCAAAGATGGCTTGAGTTCAGGGGAGGTTTGCCTAACCTTGTAGTCAGTCATGACAAAATTAAAGGAGAAGAAGGGGGAACTCTGAATCTCCTCTTTTGGTGTACCTATGTTGAAAGCCAATTTGTGAGTGAGTCTACATGAATGCAATATGTGCTGCAAAAAGGTCTGGGTTAGTGCAGAGG